GGGGTCCTTCCTAGGGAGGGTTAGCGCTGCCTTGTTTGGACCGCACTGGGGGGCTCAGGGAGTGTGTTGGGGGGGGGCTGCATTTCCCCCGTTGAGGCCCCTGTAGTGCTGACTCGAACTGCCTGAGTTACCATTTTATGTCAACTAAACAAACGCTAGCGTAAGAAGGCAGAGGCTAACCGAAGGCCGTGGGGGCTGGCGGCGTTCGGCACAGCTACCGCCTGGCACAAGAGGAAGCTGCGCGCCAGCATCTGCGGCGTCCCAGGCTGCTGCAAGGTTTGATTCGCTGTGCGGATGCTTGCCTCAGTTTATTTCCAATAATTGATTAATTGAATATAATAGGAAGAAAGTTATTAATTGTTGGAATAGTGGACGAACCATAATTCATAGTTTGCAATAATATTAGAAATCAGGAAAGGGCATTTCTGCTAACCAATAGTGACTTTGCTGTAAAAACATATTCTCTCCTCCCTCATAATACCAATCCACACACTTAATGCATAGGGTTTTTTTCTTTTTTACATGCTTAAAATCATGTTATATCCCAGTTGCAGATGGTTGTATGCACAACCAAAATCTGCTCAGCCAGCCAGCATTACTTCAATGGACTTTGCCTGCAATTGGCATATCAGTGTTAAAAGGTCCTGGCAACTTTAAAGACTGCATGATGCTTTAAGAAGAAGCGTAAACATAAGCAGATAAGTGTTTGCTCTTGAAGATGAGTCATTAAAGCATAGGCATAGGAATACCAGCAAATAAAAGCAGCTGGCACAAGTCACAAAATGCAGATGCACATTCAAATTTCATGTAACTTGCTACTTAGATCCAGTGTTTTGATCCATTCTGTCATTAAAGTAGGGATCACAGGCCATGAATGCGCGGAGGTACAATTCAGAAACCCTCAGCAGCTCAAAGGAGCTGACTAGGTTCAGTGGTCTACTTCCCTCACCAAAAAATTCAAGAGCAAGATAAAGTGAATTAAAGATGGGTGCTGAAGGCAAAGTAAGATCATCTCCAAATTGATCAAAAAATGCAAACCTTGCCTCCTGTGGGGTTTGAAAAACGTGTAGTTAAATTGCCACTTTTTTTCTTTCCAGTTTGACATCTCCCTGAACATCTGGAACACAAGCAAAAATGACAGAATTACATACTATGAAAAAAATCTGTACATACGAGTTTTTAAATCTCTGTTTTGCAGGTATACTTTAAGTTGCTTGGATAAAGATCAAAAAAGGTGGATGAAGTTTGGGGCACGTGGACAAATGAATCTGTCTGCAATTCTCCCACGGTTGCTAAGGCTCCAGATTTCATCTTTTTTAGATACGAAGGAGATAGTGCTGTACAGAGGGAATAAAGAGGAAATAATTGTGGTCTGTGCAGCTCAGATTTTGAACGAAATTTGCCCAGAATCCAACACTGTTTCAGCTTGCACCTAAGCGCCTATATTATCTACAGCACAATGGCCAAAAGACATTCAAGAGCTCCACAGCGTTGCGTTTTTCCCTTTCTGGGAATGTTTAACCAGGGCAAACTGTATAGTGCAGCATTTCTGCACGATACCATAGACTCTGTTTCTCCTTTCCTTGTGCTGTGTAACTAAGGGGCACTGTAAGGGGCGCATAACTTACAGACGAGAACAGCTTTCTCCTCTGCGCTCTGACAGGAAATAAAAAGCTCCCAAAAAACTCAGGAGAGAAAAACAAACTTTGTGAATGACAAATAGAAGCACTGCCAAAACAAAAGAGTTCCCTGCATCTAATAAAAGGAAAAAAGCAAGCTTTTTTGCTCATCCATACTTTGCAGTTGCAAATGGCAAGAAACAGAAAGATATTAAGAATCACCCGGTGTATCATTAGGGCTCTGGAGTTTAGTACCCACAGCAGGATTAACGCTTCTGAGGAGTGCAGGGCTTTGGCTGCACTTTCCCTCTGTATTTTATAGGTTCTCTAGGCATTTTAAATAGCAGATTCAGCTCATATCAGAGCTTCTGTTTTGGGTTCAGCTTAGAAGACTGGAGATTTCCAAACAGACTTCTAGGAGACTACTTTAAATAAAAACATAGGTAAATCTGGGCAACGAAGTATGAACCAGAGCCAAGCAGTGTGCAGGCAAGCCATGTCCAGCTCTTGCCAATGCACCTCAGTCCAGCCCTACTTTACGCTTTCAGAACTGGGCTCCCCTTGTGCAGAAATGCCTGGTTGAACTAAAATGTACAGTGGTTTTATGAAGCACAAAAATACCTAGAGAATAAACCCCCCCAAAATAATGCTTTGTTAGTTGCCCTTCTTTGCCTGACGGTATCAAAAGAATGGAGTAAAAGAGCCACAAAAATCATTGATCAAGATCTGGCCTTTATTTCCTTGTTTTTGAAATCCTCAGCCTCATCGGAAAGTTTCATGGAAGTGATGCCAGCACTGCTGTCAGGAGATGTGAGCCACCAGCACGACCAAGTTAGCTTCAGCACTGTCCACTTGTTCTGACAATAGTGGAAATAGGGCTCTTGGCCTCTGACCACTGATGGAAGCACCGAATCCTCTCATCCTCATTTTGCTATCCTTGATCATTTGTTTTTGTTTTCCTGAATTCTATGAATGTGACTGAAGGAGGTTTTGAGGTCATTGTGGAAGACTGGAGCGTGAATCAGCCTCCCTCCTTGTTTTGTTCTCGCAGGACATGCTGAAGGGTAAGTCTCTTGTTTAATCTGGGTGCAGGAAGAAAGCCTGTTAGTCAGCGGTGTCATACTGATGAAGGAACAAAAAAAGAAACTTCACAGTAAACAGGACTTTCATGGATAAGATGTTAAGATGTGCATAATCCTCCTCAGCACTGATAAGATGGAGTCCTGCATTGTGTTTTAGGAGCCATACCTACAGATGTGTGCCATATTTAGGAGCCATGGAAGGCAAAAAGACTCAGCTGTTTAGAAACCCTGACCTGGGAAAGGGTTATTCAGCCTGCAGTCGGAAAAAGACAGGGAAATCTTCAAACACTTGAAGGGCAGCTGCAAAGAAGGAGGTAACCTATTTTTTCCATGTCCATTGGAACAAGAATTGGCTCAAATTATATTAAGACACATTTATCTTGGACAGTATAAAAAAAACTTGAGTGATAGAAGGAAATACAAGCACAGAACTGAAAGCACTCCCCTGAATGTGGATCCTTGCACACACCAAAAGAAATACATAAACCAGTCAAAGCATAGATCAGTTTGCGTAGCAGTGTGCTTGGAGAAAGGTTTGACACAACTAGGAGGTGCTTGCCAGCTGCTCCTGAAAAAGCCTGGTGGTAACCTAGAACCAGCATTAGAGAGTAATGGCACAATGGAAGATTTTTGGAAGGGTTTGGAACTTGTCATTGTTCCCTGAAAGATCCAAGTCACAGTAGACCTCTACAGAGTTCTTTTTTTTCTTCTTTTTTTTTTTTTTTTGGTCCTAGGAATTGATCTGACAATGAGGAGAGCTTGAATAGTTTCTGTGGAGACAGATCTGTGGGCAGTGTGAGAGCCTATCCATTAAAATGGAAACAAGGCTAAATTTTGCCTCCTCTGCTGAAACAGTCAGTTTCAATAAGACTTCCTCCAGATTCACACCAGTTAAACTGAGTACACACGTGGGCCAAGGCAATACAGAAACTAAAGACTTGTGTAACGATCAGTCAATGTAATGATTTCTCTTACCTAAGTCTTTAGGAGACTTCCTTGAAGATCCTAATTTCTACAATGCGTATTGCAGAAAGCAGTCTGTGGTGTCCAAGGAGAAGCAATAAGGAGGGGGCTTTTTAATACACTCCCTGTTTTGCTTTAGGTTGTGATCCTATATGGTTATGAGTATGATACTAAACTAAATCCACCCAGCATGGTGGCAATGTTACCTAGTGTCACTAGCAAGTAGTTAGTCTGGTCCAGCACCATAAACCCCGCAGCACATAGAAGCTAATTGCAAGGATTAGAGCACACCAAGACACACAAGCTCCATTCCTGTGGGTCCGGGGAGAAACAACACATTTAAACATTCCAGCTACAGTTCCCTTGGCAACATACATAACAGCAACTCAGTAAAACTATGGGTTTCTGTTTTCTTAACCCTTCAGGACATTGACTGAATGAATACTTCCTTGAGGAAACAGTTCAGTCAACCAGATATACTCAAACACTCTTAAATCCAGCAGTCCTTTCTTCCTTACAAAAACAACAACAGTTAAATTCCATGTCAAACTGATCTCCTCCCCTAGCATTAAAGGGCTTAATTCAAACAAATGTGTATACCATTAGCAAACCCTCCACAGAAATCTGCATGAAAAAAAGGAAAATAAGAACGGATCCCAAAACATTAACATTTCAGATCATTAATAATTTCCAGAACATCAGAGGACACAGAAAAATAGACAACAAAGTCTATAAAGCATGTAAGTACTGTTAGGAAATAAAACAATACTAACATTTATGTAGATGATTG